AATGTCATGGGGAACATGACTATAATGAGCGGATCTCGTCGCCCGCGTGCACGCTCACCATCACCTGAGCCGGCGCCTAACCCAATCGAAGCGTCATCGAACAACAACCCGTTCAGCACGCATCACGACTTCAGCGACGATGACAACCAGGACTGGAACCTACCAGTCCCGCTGCTTGAGAGCCCCCCGTACATACCTGACATGCGGCCGGCACCGATCGATTGGATCGCGTGCGAACAATTTCTCAAGGTTGACACTCCGCACATCGTCACTCCGCGACTGGCGCTACACGCGCGAAACGACAATAGGCACTACAACTCGTGGTACCTGGACAGCTGCTGTGGGCAGCATATGGTGGGCTCTGAGCGTTACATATCCAATGCCATCCCCACCCCCGCCGTCACCTACGTCGCTGTGGTGAACAATACGCGGCCGCGCGCAAGGCATTGTGGTACTCAAGGCACATGGGAGCAGAACGCACATCACCCTGAATGACGTGTTGATTGTGCAGAACCTGCGCTTCAACCTGCTCTCGGTGGCGCAACTCCTGGATTGCAGAGTCATCCTTAGCACCGACCCCGAGACGCGCGATATTCTGCTTCACTCCACAATGCCGAACAAGAAGCGCAAGCAGATCGAACGGGCGCACGCCGAGAACGGAGTATACGTTCTCGACTTTGACATTCCCGACTGCAGCGGCGACTCGCAGGAGTTGATTGATCTCGTCCCCCTGCGCTTCGAACACATACATCGCCGCGACTGGAAGCACCCTGATGGGCGCCCTTGGGTGCCACATCACCCACATCCGCGCGAGCTGGCGCTACACGACCCCGACCCCGATGGTGTCTGCAGGAACTGTCACACGCCTACGTCCTCGACGAGCGCAATCGCCGGCCTTCGCCTTGCCGCCATCCTCGAAGCAGAGCGCGACGCGCCGCTTGAGGAAGGTCTATCCCAACTGGAGCTGGAAACAGCTACGCGGGTCGTCTTCGGCACACCAGAATCTCCACTCCCCGGACCCGCATCCCAGCATCTCCAAGGAATGCTTCGTGGTGTCGGCGTCGGAACCTTCGACGAACACGGCAACCCACGACCCTACACCGAAAAGAAGGCGACAGAGATATACTCTAACCGGCGCGATTCAAAGAAGCAACTCTCGCCGACGGAGGAAGAGGTGCTGCCACAACGCGAAGCCGAAGAGCTTCGACAGAAGAGTCTTGCCGAGGCCCGTGGAACGCTCGCTTGGGAGCACGACGAGGAGAGCGCTTCCAATGAAGGGGGGTGGGAGAGCGCTAGCGGATGGGGAACAAGCAAAAACGTCGGCGGATGGGGTGCCGCAACCGGCAGACGGGGCGCAGCAACAGGCGAAAACGTCGGCGGATGGGGCGCCGTACAAGGCGGCGAGACGAGTGGCTGGGGAGCCTCCCGCGAGGACCAAAGGGGGGTAGAGGAAGAAGCAGCAGCAGAACCAGCAATTGTTCCTCTCGGTCGCCCACCGCGTCATCTCACACCTACCCTGCCCCCGCCTGATTTACAGCCGGAACGCGACCCCTGGGACACCATTGACTGGGGCAATGAGCCATCCACACCGCGCCGCACCGTCTACGGTCCTGCTCCCGAACCGCGCGAGCCAATCTTAGTGCTCGGAACGATCCCAGGGACCAACATCCCTTACTCAATCATCTGCGACAGAGAATTTTTCGCCCTCATGCTAACGACGACGAACAAGGAAGAAGAAGAGAACGAGGGAGCAGCGCCTATACCTGCACCAGCACCTGACGAAGACTCCGCAGAAGCACTTGTGCGCTACATGCGCACCTCCGGATTCCACGCCGACGATACCATTTGGCACCAACGCCTGGGTCACCCTTCGTGCGTGACCCTGAAGAACTGCATCGAGGTCGGCGTCTTCGCACCTGGCGCACTGCTGCACCCTGACGGCTCCGAAGTAAGAGGCGGAACTCACCCACGCACCTGCACCATCTGCCTCGAAGCTGCGCTGAGTCACCAGCCCTCCCCCCTGCTCGAGCCAGGAACCAATCGCTACGCCAAGCTGGAGAAAGTTTACAGTGACTTCCTCAACGTAGGACACTGCGGCATCAACGACGAGCTCTACACACTCACCTTCGTCGACGCCGGAACGCGCCACGTGTGGGTCGTAAACGTGGAATCATGCAGCAGAGCCTACGAAGCATTCCGCGTGTGGCTGGCGCACGCGTAGCAGCAATCTGGGGAAAAATTGAAGATCTGGCAGTCCGACGGCGCGGCAGAATTCAGAAGCAAGGAGCTGCAAGACTACCTTACGCAAAAGGGGATTGAGCACCACATCTCTCTCCCCTACGCGCATCAGCAGCAGGGCGTAGCAGAGCGCACGAATCGCACCCTAATGACGAAGGTGCGGGCGCTAATGAGGCAGTCAAAGCTCCCGCCGATCTACTGGACCTACGCGATGCACCATGCCGTGCGGGTGCACAACCTGCTGTCAACCACCGCGATCATCGGGAATTCCTCGCCGTATGTGAAGTGGACGGGAAGAAAGAGGGACACTTCCATGCTCCGCGTATAGGGGTGCATGGTTCAATACCGACCGCCAACATCAACCATCGGGAAATTAAAGAGCCGCGCGCGCTGGGGAATCCACCTCGGCATCAGTCACGAACACAAAGCATGGATCATCCTGGATCTCCTGAGCCAGAAAATCAAGAATGCGCGCGACGTCATTTTCTACGAGCGGCTCTTCCTACGGCAATTCCGTGACGATGAGCAAACGAACGCCAATCGCTTCTACGCCAACGAGGGGCACAGCTACGCCTCACCCGAGGACGAAGCCGCAGCAGCAATTCTGGAATAGGATCCCAGAGGCGAGTTCATGAGGGTCGATCGCCGCGACAACGACGACAATGATTTGGAAGAAGGAGGAGCGGGCGCAATAGGAGGCGCAACAGGAGGCGCAACAGGAGCCGCAACAGGAGGTGCAGCACCACCAGCGCCACCCGAACCAGAAAGCGATGATGACGACGTGCAGGAAGTCGTCACTCAACACCGCCATGACAGTACCGTCACTGGCCTTCAGCTTCTGGGACTTCACGCTGCCATCTCCACGACTCCGCACATCATCGAGCCTAAAAACCCACGGCAAGCTCTCACGGGACCTCACAGCAAGGAGTGGCGCGAAGCAATGGATGCGGAAACCCGGGCACTCAAGTCACGCGACACCTGGGTGCTCGTCGACCGTGCAGCAGTAAAGGGGAGAAGAATCCTCTCCGGCAAGTGGGTCTTCCGCGTGAAGACAGGAGCTGACGGGACGATTGAGCGATTCAAGGCACGTTGGGTGGTGCGAGGCTACGATCAGAGGCATGGGATCGACTTCGACCAGACGTTCGCACTGGTTAGCCGTCACACGTCCGTTAGAATTCTCCTCGCCATCGCTGCCGCACGACATCTACCGCTATGACAGATTGATGTGAACAACGTGTTTCTATACGCGTTAGTAGATGCAGTGATCTACGTAGAGCAGCTTCACACATACGGTGACGGGGACCCACGTGTCTGTCAGCTACGCAAGTCCCTGTATGGGATTAAATAGGCGCCGAGACTCTGGCAGCAGTACCAGCACAACATACTGCTTGAAATCGGATTCAAGCAGTTGCCTCACGACCCTGGGATGTATCGCCACGATTTCCGCGGCGAATACATCCTACTCACGGTCTACGTCGACGACCTTCTCTACATAGGGTCGAGTGTCATAACATTATAGCTTATACATTTGTGTAGGCTGTAGTGGGGTAGCCCATAAGGGGAACAACCCAATTAGGGTTAGTACTTGTACCCAACTGTTTCATAGTGCATTCATTCCATTCTCACTTCTCGTCATGGTATCGAGCAGGTTCCCGAGGGGGAATACTGCCTAGGGCCCACCACGAACTTTTTTTTCCCTGCCCGGAGCGCGCTTAGCTCCTAACCCGAGTAGCGCCTCGAGCCGCCTTAGTGGCCCCTAATGGCCGCCCTTACTGCCCCTCGAGCCGCCCGCTACGGCCCCGCTACGGCCCCGTCGGCCCCGCTACGGCCCCGCTTAGGCCCCGCTATGGCCCCGCTACGGTCCCGCTACGGCCCCGTCGGCCCCGCTTAGGCCCCGCTACGGCTCCGCTTAGGCCCCGCTACGGCCCCGCTACGGCCCCGCTACGGCCCCGTCGGCCCTGCTTAGGCCCCGCTACGGCCCCGCTACGGCCCCGTCGGCCCCGTCGGCCCCGCTACGGACCCGCTTAGGCCCCGTCGGCCCCGCTACAGCCCCGCTTAGGCCCTGCTACGGCCCCGCTACGACCCCGCTACGGCCCCGTCGGCCCCGCTTAGGCCCCGCTACGGCACCACTACGACCCCACTACGGCCCTGTTGGCCCCGTCGGCCCCGCTTAGGCCCCGCTACGGCCCCGCTACGGCCCCGTCGGCCTTGCTACGGCCCCGCTACGGCCCCGCTACTGCCCCGCTTAGGCCCCGCTACGGCCCCGCTTCGGCCCCGCTTAGGCCCCGCTGCGGCCCCGCTATGGCCCCACTTCGGCCCCGTCGGCCTCTCTACGGCCCCACTTAGGCCCCACTTCGGCCCCGTTGCCACCGCGGCCCCGCCCACCCTTGCGGCCCGCCGCCATCTGCGACCTCGCCACCACCTGCGACCCCGCCTCCAAGCGCCCGCAACGCCGAGCAGCCGAACCGCCGGTCACCTGAGCCGCCCGACCTCCCGAGCTGCCCAGCAGCCGAGCCGCCCAACAGCCGAGCCGCCCAGCAACGTGTAGCCGAGTCGCCCAGCAGCCGAGCCGCCCAGCAGCCGAGCCGCCCGACAACCGAGCCGCCCCGCAGCAGCCGAGCCGCCCAGCAGCCGAGCCGCCCAGCAGCAGAGCCGCCCTGCAGCCGACTCGCCCGACAGCCGAGCCGGCGAGCAGCCCGATCGCTCCACCTACCTGGTAAGAGCACAGTCTCTGCCGCTGCAGTGCCCTGCCTCCTGCTGTTATGGCTTCCCCTAGCGTTCTCACCTTTGACGCTGAGGGTCGGGCAGTGGACTTTGAGGTCTGGGTACATGATCTGCAGCTTTTCCTGCAGTGCGATAGGGCAGACGGCCTCTCCCTGTTTGACCTCACTTCTGGTGCTTCCCCTGCCCCTGTTGCTGATGCTGACGCCACTGTTCGCTCACACTGGGCCACACGTGACGCTGCTGCTCGCCTTGCTGTGCGCCGCCACTTACCGACCACTGAGCGTGCACACTTTAGCCAGTACAAGAGTGCTCAGACCTTGTACGACGCTGTAGTTGCACGCTACTCTTCCCCTGCCACTGCTGCACTGAGCCGCCTCATGCTACCGTACCTCTTCCCTGACCTTGCTGCCTTTCCCACTGTTGCTGACCTCATTACGCACCTCCGCACTAGTGACACTCGCTACCGCGCTGCGCTTCCTGCTGAGTTCTGCGCCAAGAACCCCCCCCCCATGTACATCACCCTCTACTACATAGTCACCCGTCTCCCTGACTCTCTCAGTGTAGTGAGGGACCACTTCCTCTCTGTTTGCCCCACCACTCTCACCGTTGACCTCCTCGAGAAGGCCCTCCTAGCGATAGAGAAGAGCATAGTCGCTGTAGGAGCCTCTCGTGGTGACCCTCGCACCCCCGTCTTTGAGGGGTGTTCTCCCTCCCCCCTCTTGCCCTCTGTTGCCTCTGCTGCTGCGGCCGACCTCGTTGGTTTCGAGTCGGTCGGCGCGGCGTCTGCCCCGAGCGGGAGACGCCGCACCGGCAAGAGCAAGGGGGGCAAGGGCACTCGAGGAGGTGGAGGGGGCGGTGGAGGTGGTGGTGGAGGCGGTGGAGGGAGTGGGGGTGGTGGTGGGAGTGGTGCTGGGGGTGGCGGCGGCAGCGGCAGCAGTGGAGGTGGCGGAGGCGGTGGAGGTGGCGGAGGGAGCGGAGGCGGCGGAGGTAGTGGAGGAGGCGGAGGTGGAGGAGGCGGCGGAGGCGGCGGAGGCGGCGGCGGCGGCGGAGGCGGCGGCGGTGGAGCGAGTCGCGACTCTGCGTCGAGGAGTGGCGCCGGTGGTGGTCAGCGCCAGCAGCAGCAGCGGAGTGGTGTGACCCTGTCCCCTCACCAGCTTCGTGAGTGGTACACTGCACGCCAGCGCGGTGGGGGTTTTGGTCCCTGCTCTTACGTTCTCCGTACCGGCGACCGCACTGGTGAGCAGTGCGGGGGTCCGCACTCCACCCAGCGCTGCTTTGGTCGCCTGACGGACGCGTGGCGTCGCCAGTTCCCTGAGGCGTCAGAGATCCCTCGCTTGGGAGATCTGGCTAAGGCCGGGGTTGCTATCTTTGATCATGACTTTGATGCTATTCTTGCTGCCATGTATGCTGTTGCTGATAGTGTTGAGGGTGCCTGTTACCTGTGTGTACCGCCTGACCCGGGCATTGAGGCTGCTGCGCTAGGTGTGTCAACGGGAGTTGGGTATTGGCCCCGTCCTCGCTTGGGCGGAGCCGACTTCGTGGTCGGGTGTGAGGGGAGCAGCTGGCCTTCAGCACTGGGTGAGCTGGTCGACGAGGAGGTCGACCTGCACGGGGGACCACTGCACGGGCGCCGACTTCAGGGTGGCGCCGACTTCAGGGAGGTCGACTTGGTTGTCGACCTGCGAGTGACGTCAACTTGGGGAAGCCGACTTCGGCAGTCGGCTAACGGACTGCTGGTCGACCTGTTAAGTGGTCGACTGGACCTGGTGGTCGACGAAGGAGGGGCCGACGTCGACCTTGACTCAGGACGCCGAGCAGTTGGGCGTCGAGTAGCGGGGCGTCAACTTTGTGACGCCAGCTTCGGGTGGCCGACGTGGGTGGTCGGCCGACGACTGTGCTGGTCGACGAGGAGCAGGTCGACCAGGAGTGCTGGTCGACGTGGAGCTGGTCGACCAGAGGGGATGTCGACCTGGAGGAGGTCGACCGATGGTGTCGTCGACCTGGTGAGGTCGACGTGGAGGTGGTCGTCGATTTGGGAGGTCGACGGGCACGTACGGGAGCTGCTGGTCGACGTGGTTGCCTGGTCGACCAGGTTACCTGGGTGACGAAGTGCTGCGGAGGAGTGCGACGGTCGCCCAGGCGAAGTTGGCGAGCCCGACCTCGGTGGTGGTATCCCGAGGTCGTCATGGCGGATCAGAGGCAGTCGTCAGCTCGAGGTTGACGTGGTGTGTGCGCTGTGCAGGTGACAAGACTCTGCACGCCAATCATCTGCGCACAACTGCAAAGCAGGGTGCACTGCTGTCCTGCGTGAGCAACGCTGTCACGCCGTCAACCTGCGACGTTGGCACGCCGTCGACCTTGCCTTGCTGGAGCGCGGTCGACGAAGTCATGCTGGAACGCGGTCGACCAAGCTGCGCTGGCAGTTGGCCGACCTGAATGCTTGCTCTGATGTAGTCTTGCTATGCCAACTTCATTGTCCCATTGTTCTGAACTTTTCCTAGTGAAACTCTTGCCAATTTTCCCCGTGAACTAGTAAGTAGTGTGTGCACAAGGAAAACGACTAAGGACTAACGAACGCAGAGATCACATGAGCACACGTGCCTAGCCCGTAGCCTAGCTCCCGTTGCTGCAGTTATCTCCGCATGGTGCGGTGAGCGTGGACGGCACACGACTTACCTTTCAGACAGGTCGACGTAGACACCACTTACCTATTTCGTAGTTGCAGGCCGGCAACTGTGCTGTAGTCACTATGGTAGGAGCCGTAGGTGACGCGGGGGTGGTGGACACCCTAGAGGCACGGTTGGAGAACGCGAGGAGGAAGCACGAGGCCAATGAGTATGGCGACTTGCCCTGGCCGGTCGTCGAGGCTGGACTCCGCTCCATGTGGGCGACGGAGCACCCGTCTCGACCTGCCTCTCCTCGTCCGCTGAACAACGAAGGCGGCGTCGACGTGGGCGTCAACACCAGTGGTGGTCAAGTCGGCAGCAGTGCTGGAGGCACGTCGAGGCAAAGAGGTGTGATACACGCCGGTGAAGTCGGCGGCGTTCAGGCGCGAGGGATGCAGTCGTCGGCGGCTGCAGGCTCTTCGCGGGGTGACGTCGGAGGTCGACGGAGTGGGCTGTCGACGATGTCGGCGTCCCAGGTGACGGCGGGTGGGATTGCACCGAGCTACGGCTACTTCAAGTTTACGCCGGACAGGATCTCGGTCACCCCTCCGCTGGTCGGTCGACCCGACATACTCACCTGGAAGGAAGCCATCGAGCCCCAGCTGGAGATGGCCGGGCTGATCGGCTTCGCCCGAGGGACCGTGGCGACGCCGGAGGAGCACCACCCCGACCTGCGTGCGGAGTTTCGCGCCGTGCAGCTGTTGACCTTCACGGTCATCTCGCGGTGCTGCTCGACGGGCGTGCAGATCGCCTTGAAGTGGTGCCGGGAGTACCTCGACGCCGGCCACCGGGCGTGGCACTTCATTGAGTCGACGTACCAGGTCACCGACGACCTGTTCATCGCCCAGCTGGAGGGACAGCTGACACACCTGCGTATGGGCGACGAGGAGAGTGCGACCGACTACTGCAACCGAGCCAGGCGAATCCTCGCCACCATCAGGATGGCCGGCGCGCAGTACTCCACGGCGTCGTACATCACCCATGTCATGCAGGGACTGTCTAGCAGCTATAACCTCCTGAAGTGGCTGTCTATGGCGCCGAGCACGAGGGCGACGCTCAACGAGGACAACCTGACCTCGTACATCCTGCAGGACGAGGCGATGCAGAAGGCTGAGCGATCGCAGGAGCTCTTGGCGCAGGCCAACTTCGTCGCTCCGTCAAAGCAAGGAGGCCGACCAGGACAGCGCGGACACTCTGGTGGCGGCGGGAGCGGTGGCTGGAAGTCGACCAAGGAGGTCGAGAAGATGTCGACCAAGGACGGCGGTCGAGGAGGAGGAGGTCGACGTCGGGAGTGTTGGATCTGCCACAGCCCCGATCACCTCTCCTTCGATTGTCCCGACCGCAGTGACTCCGACGACGACGACAAGGGCGGCCGCGGGAGGTCTGGCAGCCGTCGTCCTCGTCGTGGAGGAAATCATCCGCGCAAGGAGAAACAGTCGACCAAGGCATCGACTTCGGCGAAGGACGCCGACTCCGTTGCAGGCGGCAAGGGGCGAGATGACAAGATGGCGTCGTGCTCGCTGGTCGGCGTCGTGGAACCGACCATCTCTCTGGCGCCGGAGGCCGGAGAGGACTTCCAGGCGGTGGCGGCGGCTGTGCAGGCGAACCCGGCGGTGGTCCTGCTCGACACCGGTTGCTCCCACCACCTGATGGGAACGAAGGAAGCCTTCGTTGACCTGCAGCCGAGTGGCTCCATCAAGCACGTGCGCGACTTCAATGGGGCGCTGCAGGACGTTCGGGGCAGTGGCATCGTCGCTCTGCGAGGAGAGGCCGGGAAGGAGGTGCTCATCCCCGACGTGTTGTACGTCCCAGGTGTGCGAGCCAACCTGCTGTCGTCCGGCCAGCTTAAGGAGCACGGAGTGAAGCTGCAGGAGGACGGAGACGGCATGCTGCTCGTCTCGGCAGCAGGGGAGGTGCTCGGGCGGGCGACGTACTCTGGGCGAGTCCTCTGCACCGACCTGCGTCCCTGCGCGACGAGGTCGATGCCGCCCACGTCGGAGGTGGTGGCTCTGCGGGCGATCGTCTCGAAGACGAAGTCGACGCCGGACCGGATGCATGCGAGGCTTGCGCATATCGGCATGGACACCATACGGAGCTCAGCGAAGAACGAGGTCGCCACTGGGCTGGACCTCAAGTCGGCGACGGACGCCGACTCCCCGTGTGTCTTGTGCGTCGGCGGGAAGCTGGCGCGACACACCTTCCCCGACCAAGGCTCCGACGCCGACGATGTGCTGGCCGTCGTGCACATCGACCTGTGCGGGCCATTCCGCGTGGCTGCCAAGGATGGCAGCCTGTACTTCTTGTTGCTGAAGGACCGCAAGACCCGCTACGTGTGGGTGAAGCCGGTCACCAAGAAGTCAGATGCGTTGCCGGCGTTCGTGCAGTGGCTGGCAGTGGCTGAGCGGCAGACGAAGGGGTCGGTGTTAATGCTGCGCTCTGACCGGGGAGGGGAGTTCCTCGGGAAGCAGTTCACCGACTTCGTGAACGGCAAGGGGATCGTCCACGACCTGACCTGCCCATACACCCCGCAGCAGAACGGCATGGCGGAGCGGGAGATGAGGACGGTGGTGGAGTCGGTGCGGACAATGCTGCTGCACATGGGTGTGCAGCACCACTGGTGGCACCTCGCTCTCCGGCAGGCCGTCTGGGTCCGCAACTGCCTTGAGAGGTCGGCGCTGCCGCCGGGGACGACGCCGTACCAACTGCTGACCGGGAAGAAGCTCGACTTGTCGCTGGCGCGGGTGTGGGGCTGCATGGCGCAGTTCTTAGTCACCGAGCAGCAGCGTGGTGGGAAGCTGCAGCCGAAGGCCAGGTGGGGCCTGCACCTTGGCGTGTCGGCGGCGAGCAAGGGCTGGGAGCTCCTCGACGTCGACGCCGACCGGGTGGTCACCACGTCGGATGTGGTGTTCTACGAGGAGCTGTCTCTGGCCGAATGGAAGACGGAGTACGGGTCGGTGTCCGGCCGCTCGTCGCCCACCCCGCCCTCTGACACCTCGTCGGCGACGCTACCACTGCTTGCCGAGGTCGGTGAGCTTGCTATTACGGACGTCGAGGACGTCCGCCCTACCCCTCCCCCTCCGACCCCTGCCCCTCACCTCGTGGCCGACCTGCGTGGGCTGACCTCGGTGTCGGCCTCCGGCGATGAGGGGAGTAGTGGGGCGTCGCCTTCGGCCAAGTGCATCGCCGGTGGCCGACGTGACGAGCGGCAGGTCGACGTGGGATTGCGATCGACGTCGACAGGGGAGGAGCAGGTCGAGAAGCAGGTCGAGGACCAGCGGCCGACAAAGGAGCAGGCAGCAGTGACGCCGACCAAGGAGCAGTCGGCGACCGGGCAGTCGGCAGGGGAGCCGACCATAGGGGAGAAGTCGGCTGGGACGCCGGCTGAGGAGCAGCAGGACGCCGAGGGCAGCGACAACACCAACGATGGAGGGGACGCCGAGGAGGTCCAGCCAGGACCACGGCGTTCGGGCCGACTTCGGAGACCGCCTGACTTCTTCGTCCCCGCTGCCTTCACCACGGTGTACGACGTGGACGATGAGGCCGACGACCTGCTGTACGACGATGCCGAGGAGGATGAGGAGTTTCCAGAGCTCGACCCCGACATGCTAGCCGACCCCGAGCACCGTTGGGACATCTCGACGATGACGGTGAAGGAGGCGTTGGCGAGCTGGAAGGGCCCGGCGGTGAAGTCCGCCATGGAGGAGGAGATTCGCAGCCTCCTCAACATGGGAACGTGGGAGTTGGTCGAACGTCCGCCGGGAGTGAACGTCATGAAGAACCGGTGGGTGTTGACGACGAAGTACCACGTCGACGACGCCGTCGAGCGCGAGAAGGGGAGGCTGGTTGTGAAGGGCTTCACGCAGGTGTACGGCGCCGACTACGACGAGACGTTCGCGCCGGTGGGCAGCTACGTCAC